ATCTTTATGGCCAATTTAATTGCATTAATGTTTCACTGCTAACGTAAATGAGTTGGCGAATTGATCACCTTGTTCCGTTCCCATGCTAGTCTCTGCTTTATCTATTTATAACTGTGCTCCATGATCGTAACTGTTACATTAGAGGTTAATGAATAAATAAATAAATGAAAATATTAATCTCAGATTATTAAGAAACCTCGTGTAACCTCAAGATAGCGAATCGCAAGAGGTCTGCACTGGAATTAATTGGAACACGAAAACCAATAAGTCAAACATGTCACGACTTCCTATCAGAAATGGAGTAATTCTTCAAGTCTTTTGTGCGCTTTGTGTGCAAATGATATCACACAATCGGTCCTCGCTACTAGCAAACAAAATGAGAAACGAGGCTCGGCTTCTTTTTGCCTTTGTCTCTTTTACTGTCTCTGAGCAAGTCAATGACTTGTTTATGCTATCGATGCTCTCCTGGTCTCGCGACTCGATCGTACAACATAGATCGCGCTTAAGAATTCGTGAATACATACTTGCACCGAAGTTCGCGACTATCCTACAAATTTGCAACGACGATACGAGCCTGCATATCATCAATCAAACGGTGAATGGTGTTTCTTGCTTCATGAGAGGATTTTCTCTTCGTCCTCGCTTGTTTAACTGTTAACTGAAACAGTTATCTTCGCCATTATTCTTTATCGTGAATATTAAAAACATAAAATACATGTGATTCGAATCAGCACGATAATTGATTGAATTTGAAATAAAATGCTGATTGAATTTGAAATAAAAGTTGTATTTGAAATAGTAAAGTTGAGTAGTTGAAATGCTCTTATTGAAATAATATATCGTTTGAAAATTTATCTTATCTGATGATGATAAATACAAGTATATTGAAATTATTTCTTTCAAACATATGAGTAAGTATATTGAAATAATATTGAGTATTGTATTGAAATAATGGTTGTTTAATGTGTATGAGAAATTATAAATTATTAATTCAAAATAATTGTTTACGCTGCGAAACTTGCATTGATTATTTCAAATATTATTTTTAACGATTACTATTTCAGAAGGAAATTAATTTAAAAAAGTATGGAGAAAATACAAATTTAAAATATTATTTCTAAATAATAAAGAAAGATAAAGAAAGATATTTCTAAATGATAAAGAAAGGAACGATTTTACGTAAAAATAATATTTAAATATTTCATTACATCAACGATAAGAGAAATATTCGTTTCAAATAACTATTTATCATGATCAAATTTATCATGAAAAATACGTAATTGAAATGCATTTTTCATGTACTTGTAAAATCAAATAAATTTCAAATAACATTTCAATCACTATGAAAATAAATAATTATTTCAAACAAACTGATGAAACTGTGCGATAAATGCGTTATGCGCATAAACTAATATCTATAAATACATTTATATTTTATTTGATATATTACTTGAATCAGCACTGTGATTGAATTACTAATATTTGCATAATAACAACTACACGTTTGAGTTTGACAATTTATTTGCATTCCGAGAACGATTATACTTTCAATTTGTTTTATTATTTTATTTAATTTTGATTTCATTTAATATGTAACAATCTTGAAGAAGTTTAAAAATATCGTGACATTGCAATTTATTTTTGGCACATCAGCGTGAGATAAATCAGAATGATTTCTATCGTTGATAAAAATGTAACAACTTTAAAAAAGTGGAAAAAATTCGAAAATTTGTCAGAAGTGGGATTCGAACCCACGCCCACAGAGTGGACTGCGACCTGAACGCAGCGCCTTAGACCGCTCGGCCATCCTGACTTGATCGAAGTTCTCTAAAATATAGTAGAAACTGGGATAATTATATCTATATTTAAAATTTAACATTTAAATGAACTAAAGTTTATTACAAGTAAAATTTAATTAAAAACAATTCCAAGTTGTGAAATAAACTATGTTATAAAGTAATATTGTTTACTTGTACTGCAAAGTTATAAATAGAATTTTTATATTTACTGCATAAGAAACAGAAGTAAACTTTGTCCGCGTAAATACGGAGTTTATTTATATATTTCGCTGATATAATTTCTTCTTACTATTCTAGACTTACAATTAGCCACAGACGAGGTTTGTGACTTAGCTTTGATGTTACCGATAGAGCAAAAGAATAAGATTACAAATTATTGGTAGCTAGAATCAAAACTAAATTTGAATTTGGAAATTTGAATGATTCGAATTTAGATTTAACATGACTTTGAGTTTCAAAATTTCAGCATCTTGTTTGTACAAGTATCTCTATGAAAATATAACGAAAGAAGATTCGTTTAAATCTAAATTTATCGATATCATTGACTAGATTAAATATAATTTCTAAATTTATGTTTCCAAACTCTTTAAATTATAGAAGACATATAAAAGCTTCTAACACAGACGAGGTATATAAATATTTCTAATTTTTCATACGGTCGATATTTCAGAGTGAAACACAATGTTCCATCTGCAGGAAATGTAGTTCCCGCTACCATTTGAAAATTACATTTCGTCGTGTCACAGAGAAACTTGAGTAATGTGAAAACGTACATTTGGAAATCGCAATAGAAAATTTTTCTACCAATACTTGGCCTTTCACTTCCGTATACATGGCAACTGCAAATACAACGTTCATACGTGTTTTACAGGTATTCTTCTAACCAGTCTTTTTATACTTTCTTAATATTTACCTTTTTAAAGTGAATCTTGTGTACAATATTCTTTTTCTACTTTGCTTCAACAATTTTACACATTCAAAGTACGTCCAATGTTTATCAAAAAAATATTTTGTGCCCAGCTTAAAATTTTTCAATGAAATATTCTTTACCATATTCTTCGTGCGATTTTTAAGCTTTGTTGATTTTAAATTACGATTCAGATAACCGTCAAATATCGTTTTCATCTAAATAGAAAAATTCAGTAGGAAAATATGTTTCATTTATTTATTTATATTATTTATATGAATCCATATTTCATATTATGCACTCTGTTTGTTTTTCATCCTCGTACACAAATCTCTTTCCAATTTTTTATAACATTCCAAAGCTCTCCAGATCAGATGGCCAGTGGTTGAGTCACATTTAAAAAAGTAAAGTAATAATTGTTGCAACACTCGGAGAATTGTCTCGATCTGGCAAAAACATCATTTCGAATTGTTGGCAAATTGCTTTCTTACTGGTTCGAACCTACTAAAAGCGACGCCTTCGAGATCCAACTCCCGCTTGTTGCGAGTCGTTACGAAGCGCGTAGAAAGCTCGGTTGCGTAACAGATAACCGGATCTCTTCGAGAAGCAGTTTCCGTGCTGTGGAACCAACCAAACCTTGATCAGACCGGGAAATCGTCGAAAGAGAGACCGAGAGAGAGAGAGACTGAGAAATTTGGAGAAACTTTCGAAGCTCCGTAATGCGAACAAAAATCGAGGAGCTCACGGTGAGAGCCGCGATCGAAAGTCCCTCGCGACGGTTTTACAAGCGCCCGCATTACGTAAATATCAAATACGAGTGAAAATATGTGACAGCCGTGTCCCCGATGATCTAACGACTGTTAACAGATAATATAATAAATAAAAGGATGTCCTGGTTACGTAGTTGACAATGACGAGACACTTGACAAGTGGCTCGATGCGAATCTTCCGAAGGAACGAAGAAGTAGTTTTATTTCGAGCGGAAGTCTGTTTAAAATCTCGTTCGTTAAATCATATTTTGAGCAGCTGAGCAACGAGTACATCTACTTTCCGTTGTCGCTGGATAACATTTTATCAAAGCCTTTTGCCGTGTCTTGGAGATTGGACAGAAGCGGAAGATGCAATTTCGCGGAGAAAATCTGAACATCAGGAACGTGCACTTCGTTTAGGCGCTTCCCTTTCAAACGCAGGAAGAACTTAATTCAACGCGCTTCATGGAAAAGTGAAAACAAAACAGGTCGCGTATAGTTCGCTTTTACTTCAAACGTTGCCAAGTTTTTACAAAAATTCGTGTCAACGATAACACATTGTTCGGCGAGAACGCGACCTATAAAATACCTTCGGGTGTTTTTACGCCGAATATTCTATGAAAGGAAGAAGAGCTATTAGTCGAGGGAAAACTGTTGCCACGAAAAACATTTTCTTTTTTCGTCGTGGTTTTTCCCCGGTAGAAATACCCGTTTCCTGTTTTCTCGTAGTCAGCACAGAGCACACGCTGCTCCCGCATATGAGCTCGCAAATGTGATTTTGTTTGTGGACAGGATACACAAGAAAATAAGAAAAAAAAAAAAAAATATTTATCATCTTTACTATACTCCAACGAGGCGATTTACCGTACACATGCAAAAGAAATTTACGAGCCATTAACTTCTTTATACCATAGAAATTTCTAATCTTAAGATGCTCGTCATCTGTGTAAAGCAATAAGCGGTCGAACGAAAGAATGACGATTGGAAAAAATGAAATTGGAATTCAAATGGTAAACACTATAGTTTATTGAAATAACAATAACAACTTTAGAGCCCATAACAAGAGTAATCGACGTGACATCCATCGCTTTTTCTAAATATTATTGACGAACGAAAAAACGATTTGTGGTCGAATCGCTGTATCTAAAAATTACGTGGCAAATTTTCATTTTAATTTCTCATTAAAAATTATCTTTTTTCTCTAATCTCTTCGATTATTCTCTGATGATTACACGGAGCAATGTTCACGGATTATGCAATTAGTAAATGTAATTTCTTCATAACAATGACTTTGATGATTTTTGGCATTTAAAAGCACCATCATCAAATCTGAGCAAATAATCGAACGAAGAGACATTCTCTTCGTATTTAGAAAGTCCTTTCTATATACGGAGAGAATTTTGACGTAGGAATTTATCGAAAAGCTCATTAGAAGAAAGCATGTGTTGAATGACGACTGTGTTCGGGGGACCGAAGAAGGAAATGTATTTACTATGGTAAAGTATATCGTGAAGAGAAAGGGGAACCGGCGTCCACGGGTAAACGTGAATGCTGACTCGATTCGCTTCATTCAGTGCGTGATCCTTAGTCTCGTGTGTGCGTCCGTCTTTCTCTCTTAAGATTCGATTTTCTTTTTTTTACTCGTATGCAGTGTGCCGAAGTGAACAGATGATTCAAGCTCGATTTCTATGATTTACCTGATAATCTCATCTGAATTATTGTCGTTACTCAGCGTACGTAATCGACATTAGAAACAAAGCCGAACCGGTGGTTAGTAAGAAACGAAATTGAGTCGTTTATATCGTTTATACGATCGTAAACAGACAGAGAAATATCGTGGCTAAATTCCTGTCACGATCAACATTCCGCGTCCTTAAACATGCTCGAGGATCTAAATAGCTGAACGATTCGGAAACGAAAATTGCCCATCGTTCAGTCGTTATAGTAATTTAATATGACGTCTAGAAATTTAGTCGAATGAAATCAATGAAGTACTTAGAAGTTGAAAGAAATATCGAACATCGGTCCATATTGAGAAAAATAAGAGATAAAACACGAAGTAATTGGACAATCCTGAAACAAATCATTCAAAAATGATTCTCTTCTTCGGTTATTTCTTATTGATGCTAAGTTGCATGGTACGCGCAACTCCACTTTCGAAAAACGAATCCAACATCCTCCGGATCGGAAGAACTCGCAATGTGTCGTTGGCAACAGTCAATCAGGCAAATTTGAACAGCAATGATTTCGAGGCGGGGAAACATAGACAGGGTTCGTTAATTGCATTCAGCAAAAACAATCCAGAACTTGATTGGAAGAAATATTTGAAGCTGTTCGACGAGAAAAAAGAGCAGCACCAAGATCTCGATATCGATTTCATGAAGGAGAAGCTCGAGAGGACAGCGAATAGTATCCAGTGGCTGGCAGATCTTTACGATCCCCTCAAGTGGTCCAGAGTACCTGGTAAACTCGAGGACGATTGCAGGAAGGAGCTGGAATTCTTTCTGAAGTCTCTCAAGGATGGAAAGCTATGGGCTGCCAAGAGTGAGTAGAAACGATCAACGGGAAGCAGGCAACGTTCGATCGTAGATTTTCGGGAAAATCTACAAGTAATGTCACGCGGCGAACAATTACACTCACGATGCCGTAACGTTCGCATTTTTTCAAACTTCGGCACATTATTTGCGATCAACAACAAGCGTTTCGGAGAAACCCGCGATTCGTTAAGTTTCCGTGTAGCGTGTCGTTGGCAGATTCGATTATTAAATGCGTTATTGCCTTGCGAAATAGCAATTTACTGCCTCATTTCAGCAGAGCAGTTGCATTGCCTTTTGTTCCCTTCGTACCACCGGAACGAACACTTTATCATAAAATGAATTTTCAAACTTGTTCTTCCGTGGATAAAACAATTCAAGAATATTCACGGCTCGAGACGGGTGCAGAAGGCTAAGTTGGATGGACAGTCTATTACGATGTTCCAAGGCAAGTTATTACGAAATTTAGGTCTCGAGTTAAGAACGGCAAAGTTATTGTCGTAAATTACAATGGAGCCAACACCTTGCAGTTGCAAACTTTCTCGTTCTTAGCGCGTCACGGAATCACTATCAAGAATCAAGTCGCATCGGTCACTGCTAAACTTTTCGAAGAAAGTTCGAAATCTAAGATATTTCCTTTCTATTAATTACACATATCCAATGGTAAATCGAAAGTCCGTATTTCGCTGGATAAATGGCAGTTGGCGCCGTCCGGACTTACGCAATTGATTCATTTCCACCCGATAACGGTGTAATGTACTTTAGAGGAAAATTTGCTTTCTATACCGCGGAACTTCCAACACTTTATGTAATTTGATTTACGTGAACTTCGTACGCCGAGTCGTTTGTTCCGCAGTGACTCTGTTTATCTCGATCATTGTCGATCTTTATCAAACGATCGTTATCTGATTCGTTATCGATCGATATCTTTGAATATCCGTCAGAACTTATGGCATCTTCCAGCTGAAAGTTTCGAGTTCCTAATTTACAATTAGATGCGTACGATTCATGTGATAAGCTTGAATATCGAAAGTCCTGAACCGGAAAGAATTTGTTCAAAAATAAATAGTGTAGTTCAAAGTTCGAAAATTTGATGAAATCTATCGGATTTTCTAGATCGGTGAACAAACAAGGATCAGATCATTGTTGCTGGTCACGAATCGTTGTGAAACTGCAATGTGAAAATCAAAATCGGTTCGATCGTCGACAAACTGCATGCGACATTATCTTCCTCGCTCTCGTGCGGGTACATTCACTTTTTGACGCGACATAAATGCTCTTTGACACCATTTGTCTCCTTTCTACAGAGATGCATTGCAATATACGGAGGAATATAAAAATGATAGGAATATAAATATACAAGATAACAAGCACAACTCAATTTTTTTAATCGTCTTAACCTCTTACTTATTAATTAGACTGATCAAAAAAAAACTTTTCTTTCTTTAAGGATCAACAATTTGTAAAAATTTTACAATCAACATGAATAGATTTCTATTAATATTCATAGTAATTCATTTATCTTGTCCTTCCTGTCTTGTTCTTCTGTTCTTTCAATTGTACAGCTTGATTCTTCGTATTAAGTATTTCTTTCGTCAAACAATTTTGTAAAGATTGAAGCAAATTATTAATTTATCTAAAAATGGATGTAAAATCTGCCTCTATTGAAAATTCTTCTGTCAAACTTTCCTACAAAACACATCTAAAATTGACTTTATTGTAAAATAATTTACTGAACTGTCAATTTAGCTAATAATATTATACTAATATTTATTTATATATTTTACACATTATAATAATTTATTTATCTAATAATATTATTATATAATATAATACATTTTATCATTTGCGTTCTGATTCAAAAGTGCATAAATTTTAACTACCGGTGTGTAAAAACTCCCCATAGTTGTAAAGAAATAATGTTCGATGACAGAATTTTTCGATCAACCTAATACCATGAATCTCTACTGACACTTCAATCGCATAAAGTATCGAATTTTTGTACGTGAATGGTATCGAAACGAACGTATTCGAAAGAGAGATTACGCGTATAACTTTTACGCTTTGTACTTGATGATATCATGATAAATGCTGACATAAAAATTTAACAATATCGTTGTTCGTACCAGAGAATTCGCGAAAACCGATGAATTTTATGAAACGCGTATGCTGTGCACATATTGTATATTTGGATGCTTCAGTTGAAAATTGAATTTTAACGTATTTATGCGAATTCGGGGAACAGTTGAATATTGCACAGAAAATATAGGGTACGTTTTAAACGTGAATTTAACGTAGAATGTACAATGTCAGTAACCTCGAGAAGTAACTGGAAACATTCGTTTTGCAGAAATTACTCTTTCGACGTTGTGACGTTTTAAATTCGTATTGGATGCGCGCAGGCTGTTACATCAGATGTAATCTTGCAGACTGCTTTGCTCGTACGATGAACCAAGCCAATTCAGCCCGTCACCGCGGTGTTTCGAAAGCGCGTGGCTGCTCACCGATCCTCCTTTTTCTGACACAAAACATTAACCGTGTGTGGATTCGGTAAACAAAATGTAATAATTAAGAAAGTCTTTGAAGAAGAGTTAATATAGTCAATTATCAATTTTATACATTTGTAAAGAATTAGGAGTTGCAAAAATGTATATAATACACACATACACACACATACTGTGCATGTTATGTATATCATGTATTCTATATTATATACATAATATATACAATGTATACAAAATATTTATATAAAATATCTAAAATATATTAAATCTATATAATGCACAGTAGATAGAACTAGTGATGTTCAATAAAAATTTTAAAATACACGAAATATAATGATTATACGTACACATATGCATCGAGTGTATGTTTTGGTCAAACAGTGGAATTTTTTGTTACTTTCTGAGAGTCATTTAAACATGGTTAATATTTTTAAAAAATGTGAAAATTGATTGCTCATCGATTCAATTGTTTGGCTTTAACGCCGCGATCCAAGATTCACATGAAATCACGTTCACTTAAACGCACGTTATTGCCAGTGGAGCGTTTTTTTTCTTGCGTTGCCAGTCGAATGCACTTTCTCCACTGCTGTGGTCACAGTCTGGCTTTACGTAACTGACAATGAACCTTTCAGGCGTGGTCGTGTAATCCAACCCTCGAAAGCTGGAATTCTAAGAGCCTTGCGCAAATCTCGAACAGGGACAAATGAAAACAGGGAAGACGGAGAAGGACTTTTCGTGACAAAAAAAAAAAAAAAAAAAAAAAAAAAAAAAAAACCTCTGACAATCTTTTCGTCCCTACTGTTCTCTTGAGTTCTCGAAAGCTTATCTCTCGCCAACCTCGCCAACCTCTTCGAGGCGGAGCGGTGGTTTTATCGCGAAGAAATGACAGTGTTTGCAGCGTGCGCTTATCTTCCACTCTCTTTCATAAGAATGCTCTTCATCGCGTTTAATTCGTCACTATCCTTCTTCTTTCTTTTTTATCTATAGTGTCGGACGCGAGCGGTCGTTACTCGTCGCAATATCATTTTGGAAACGGCTTCTGGCTCGGTTCGAGCACCCTCTGCAAAGAGCTGAATACCACCGGTCGAGATGTTCGCCAACAGCTCGATGACACGCCACCCTATCCGTTGAAATTTCACGTGGCGAGGATGTACTTGACATTGCCAAAAGAACTCGAATTTTCAGTAAGTATCTTTGCCACTCTCGATCGTCTCTCGTTTGTTTTTACTTTCCCGTCGATAACACTTTAGTTTATTAAATTCATAGAGAACTGTTACCTCGCAAGAAAGTATTTCTGATTCATTTAATTAACATCCTTTGAGAATATTCTCGTGTAAAATTGAATGACTTTCTTTAGAAAATTATAAATACCGTAAATATTACAAAAGAATAATATTTTGTTGGTACATTCATAATTGGGGAGGAAAAATGTTTTTGCTTTTTCATTGTCAGACTGAATTCTACTATACGCAATGTAGCATTTATTACAATTATCAGAATCTAAAAAGTAAAAATGTTTCTTAAAGTTAGATAGTTTGGAATTTAGACTTGTTTTTAACAAAAATTATAAAAAATTAGACCAATTATACGATTTCGATTGAAAATTAATTTTTGATAAACAAGTTGAGACGATAATGAAAATAAATATTATGAATAGAAAATAAAATAAAATAAAACAGATCGAAGAGATGATCCGTACAGAGAAATGTACAAGAAGTAAAATAAACTTTGGAGTTGATCAGTCAATTAGTCAGTTGACTCACTTTTTAATCTACACACCAGTTTGAAAAATATAGTTTCGAAAAAAAATGCGTTTGATGTTTCAAGATACGTACGGTTTAAGTTTGTCATTCCTCAATTGTTAATCGTCGAAAATCATTATAGTCTTCACATATAAATAATGATTTTAACTTGAATCTTGGACAAATAAAATGCTGCGGCTATGTTACTCACATTTTCGCTACTTTCGTTATAATTTGACAACAAAACTTTAAGAATTTATTTTTTAAACATTGTTGTACAAAAGAAGATCGATTTTTTTCGATCTGTTAGACAAAAATCGCCCTTTTAGTCGGCCTCCATGAGCCGAATGACACGATAGCTGTAATAACGAATGAATCATTAGTCGAATTAATTCAACTCACAATCCCAAGCAACACTCGACGGATCATTTATCTTCCGAACAGAACTAGTCAGCGGCTAATTAATCAAATGAATATTTAGCCTCTGCTAAAGCCTCTGTTCGATATTTGCGAATTGAGGGAGTTCGTTAAATTCACCGTTTTTGCTCGAGTAACGAAAAGGAGAGAAGTGAATCATTTCGATGGAAAACTGGAAAATTAACGCAACTTAATACGACAATATTACAGCTATTAGCGTTTTAATCGTGCTTCAAATGTTCGAAAGTTTCGCGAGTAATGAATTTCGTCGCCGCGGAGAATCCAGGTTTTATCAGGTTTTAGCTTAATCAGATTATGCAAGGTTTTATATTTCGCGATTAGAAGGAAGCAACCCCCGCGGTTCGCAGTTATTTTCCTTCGTTATTGCGACACGTTCGCCGCGCGAACGAAGCTAACCAAGATAAAAAACGCCATTCTGGACACTCTTGATAACCTATTCGAAAAGCGAGAAGTTGAGGCAAGCGGCAGCTCGTGGGAAATCTAAGAGGTGGGAAGTTCTTTCGCGAATTTTCCTGTGAACAGACGAAAGTTAATGTCCCGCGACTGTTCGTCAGTATGACCTTTAAAAATTTCCAAATATGTGACCGACGCGAAACTTCAAATGAAAGAGATGTTTCTATACACAGGGAAATTATTGCGCCGAGAGATCCAGCTTACGTCGGACAAGTTCGAAATTGTATCATGACTTTTCTGTCGAGGCGACGTAGGTGGCAAGAGCGTGTCGCAGAAATGAGTAGACCGGCAAATGAACGAGAAAGTACCAAAGGAAGGCAAGCTTAAGTGAAATTGAATTTTGAAAGCTGGTGGGTGTTTGAGGCAGATTGAAAATTATGGTGGCAAAGTAAACAGAAGGGAAATGGAAACGAATGGAAGTTTAATTAATCTTGAAATTGAATCGTTGTGCTCTGATTTATCTTGCTGTCTAATGTCGAAAATTTCATTAAGACACGTCGATCGTTTCCTTCTTTGTTCTATCTAATGTTGTCCTTCTTTGTTGTTTCAATGACGTGATTGACCACCCTGTCCGAGTCACATCGCCGACCGAATTGGAACCGACCAATTTGTTTTCAGACACGACAAGTATTTTTGGGTCTTTGTCTGCCGGCTACGTGCAACCAAGCATCTCTGACCTCGATGCTGAGAGCGAACGCGGATCGGGTCGAACGAGAAGGTAACTCAACGTATCGATCGGCTGGCCCGAAGATTCACATCGTTGAGGTGAAACCTGTGCCTTCCAGCAATTACAACCCCTGGCGCGATCCCAGGTCGTACATCCTTTCGTAAGTAATGCAAGAAACTTTTTCTCTCGTTGCGGCCTCTGTAAATCAGACGAAATTTTTGACCGAGCTCAATTATTTCTTCATCCTCGAGTCGGTTGTTTCTTTACTTGCCACCGTCGTCGAACTAGATTGCAAAGAGATTAACATTTTTTCACGTTGGGCTATGGAGAAAGTAATCGCGAAGCTCGGAAGAAACTTTTAACACCTGACGAAAGAAAGAAAGAACTTGTGGATTGGAAACGGGATTGTAATCTCGTCGACGACGAAACGACGAAAGCGAGGCATTGTGTAGAGAGAATCTTTGATTAATCAAAAATTCTGTGCACGACACTTTCGCGTGCGATACACGAGTTGCCGGAAACGATGTCCGTCTCTGCTTACGTAAAAAAATTTTCATATGTTTCCGTGTGTGAAGCAGCTGTGACGTGACAAGACAATTCTGTTCGTAAATTATATCGTAAATTATATCGTACGATTTACACGCAATTCGACCCGATCGCAACAACTGTTTACACCTGGTTCCATTTGCAAAAGCTTACCCGACATATTTTCTGCCATTGTTTCACCGCGATTTTGCGTGGTTTGACTTTCCTCGCGAAAGGAAAATTATAGAAAATTTAGAAATCATAGAATTCCCATTAAAGAATACACAGAGACACAATTTTTTTGCGCGCAGTTCCTTCAGTTATAAGACCGGAATTTGCGCAATAGTCAACATTCACTTCGATAAATAAGCACGAGTAACTTATACTTACATTCATACGCCTAATTATGTGTTGAGATTCACGGTACAATTAACTTGCAACAGCGTTACGATCCATTTTAATGTATCTTACATAAGGAAAAAACTTTTCCTCGTTGTCTGATTACATGCGAGTCACGCAAATATAAAATTGTGCAAAAAAAAAAAAAAAAAAAAAAGAAAAAATATTAAGACATGAAACGCGTTGTTTGGCCCTATAATTCTAGCCTTCTATAATTCTAAATGTTAGAATTATTCTATACAAGGGACGTTAGGCTTCTTGTCCGCATGAAAAAATTTATTATTTTTAGATCTATTTGGGCAACGGCCTTTTTCGGCTGTTTCATGCTGGTAAAAAGTTCTAATAAACCACGTTCTATCGCGGCTGCTGTAACGCGATCATTTATTGTTATTATTCCTGGCCACTAATCTGCGTACCTGTTATACTTGATGTCCTCTAGAAATAGTTGGCATCGATCGTCGATATCGATGTTTAATTTCATCATTTTTAAATGAATTACGTTAAGGCAATCAAACGATTCGCACTTTAAAGTGATTGGTCAGCACTAGCCATCACATTCGCATAAAATAGGCCCGCTGTTAGCGGGGAAGATCATTGCAACATTTAGTGCGACAGTGCAAAACTCAGTGCACAAGACAATACATCGTTGTAGACGTTACATTACACCAAAATTATATAATTCACTCATCACGATCTTCGATCCTATCGAAATCGTTACATTTCATTTCATTTCGCTATACTTCACTCGCATGGTCGCTATTCGCCTCAAAATTCAAACATCTTGAATCCATATTGCTTGGTTCATAGAGCCACAACAACAATTGTATGCAAAGACGCGAATAAACGAAATTTTTTTCATTTTCGACATTCTGAATATACTTAGATGTCTTACTCTTTTTTTGAAAAAAAAGGAAGAAAAAATAAGCATTTCTCAACGTTTCCATGATTTGACAAATGATAGGTAAATTTCGTTCGATGAAAACAATATCCCCTATCGACACGCGACATCTCGACATCATAAAGTTAATTCACACTATCTCGAAAGGAAGACGAAATATGTTTAATCTTGAGATTTCGACTCGTAGAGGACAGGATTGGATTTTGTAGGGCGAAAAAGGATGAGCCGTTTATCTCGGCGTCGCTTTTCAGTTTTTCCCTGCTTCCCGGTATATCTTATACGTCGCTCGTTCTCCGACCCTCTTTGGTTACTTTATCCCTTCCTTTAGGGGCGTTACCGGCGTCGGTATCTTCTTTACGAAATAATAAGCTCTCTCTTATAAATTCATCGTAAATGCGGTTCCACCAATTCCCTGAATCAGCCTCCTTTCCGGCAATCAGGCTCCTTTGATATCGATCAATATTGCTCGCAATTGAGAATTTTCTATTGATCACAGGAAAGAAACGGCGACTCGATTGAAAATGAATATTTTCATATTAGTAAAGAATATTAAATGACATATGATTTATAAATAAAAGTATTTCTCAATTACTTAAGCTAGATTGTTATAGTCCATCTATGTTGCTCTTTTTCAAACAGAATTACTTTAGCCGTGAAGAAACAGAGAATCCAAAACGAACTTTGAAAATTTGATCCATTCTTATTACTTTCATTGCTACAAAAAAATCAAATTAATTAACACAAGATTGCTGTTCTTTTTTATACTTTTTTATACTGAGACTCTAGATTCGACTCTTAAATTCTCTGTCACACGCGTATGTACGAGACTGTTCACGCACCTTTTTCTACACTTTTTATTTTTAATTTGAGCACCGCAAGCAGTCCTCTTTAATTCTGATTGAAGGGACTAAATACACTTTCGACTCTGTTATTACAAAACGATCTACGAACAATCCAATTATGTAAATGCGCATACCATCATTCATATCTTTTGTTGCTGGAAAAAAAAATTAAAATAGAATAAAAAATAAGTGAAAAAAAATTATATAAGATTGCGAAAAGCATATTATTCTGTCACCGTGACATCTACAAATATGTTAATATTTTATTTTTATTACTTTTTATACAATACAATACAATTATACGATTGAAAAAACTAAGTTTAATTAACTGATTCAAAATACTGTTTACTATCTTTTGGATTTGGTTTAATAGTTTTAGAATCTGGCTGCCAATTGGCAGGACAGACTTCTCCATGCTTTTCAACGAATTGGAATGCCTTGATGAGTCTCAATGTTTCATCTACGCTTCTGCCCACTGGTAAATCATTTACAGAAAGCTGCCTCAGTATTCCATCTTTGTCAATGATGAAAAGACCTCGTAAGGCAATTCCAGAATCTGGGAGAAGTACATTGTATTTAGCAGATATTTCCTTGTTAAAGTCACTGAGAAGAGGATAGCCCAAATTGCCACCTAGACCTCCCTGCTTTCTTGGCGTATTAATCCATGCTAAATGACTAAAATGCGAATCTGTAGAAACTCCAATTACTTGAGTATTCAGAGTTTTAAACTCTGAAATTCTTTCACTGAATGCTATCAGCTCAGTGGGGCATACAAATGTACTAAAAATAAAATCTTAGATTAATCTTAAGAATTTAGTATTCTTTAATAAGCTTCATTACTAACAACCTAACAACTTACAAGTCTAAAGGATAAAAAAAAAGAACAACATATTTTCCCCTATAATCGCTTAGTTTGATTTCCTTAAAATCACCATCAACTACCGCAGTTCCAGAAAATTCAGGTGCAGGCTTTTGAATGTGAAGTTGACAAGAAGAAAGATTGCTACTAACACAAAGACTTCGAGCATGTTGTACTAAAGTCGGATATCTAGTTTTCATCAAATTTGATGTTGCAACAAATACCTGTAAATATACACATACGTATATATAAACATCACGTTACGTGTATATTAAAATAAATCTTAAAATTTAAATCAGTTACTTAATATCTCTATAATATTAGACTTACTGCTTTGCACGTTTGAGAATGTAGAGATGTTAACAATCGTAGCATTGTTAATGTATAAATTATTAGTTATATCGATGACAAAATCTTTAAACAAACACAAGATTCCTTTACAGAACAATCAAATGCAGCTATGTGTTTATTTTTGAAGGTTTAATAACGCGTAGTTTTCAAAGAGGTTATATAACTCACTTTTCTTGTAAATGACGCATTTTAATAAGATGTAATTACGGAAGATCAGTGAATTTGTTACACTTATTTCAGTTACATACAGGTTTATTCAAATGCTGTTGTTATAAAAATAATTGTTTAAATTCTTACGAAATATTCTCTTCGAAAAGTAAAATATCTCTGTAGTAAAACGTTAGAGGGCGACTATTGTCGGAATAAAATTTGAAATTGATCTTTGGAGTCGTATGTTGATACCAACTTGAATATCTAGAATTATTCTCAAATAATGTATTCGATTAACTGATAAGGTACAACATTAAATATTAATCAATATAACTATATTTTATTCAAGTAACAATATTATAAGTTTTATGTTCGTTCTTATTCTATATAGTGGGGAAACATTTTATATTTATATGTAAATTCAAATTATGAACGATAATCATAGCATGTAAATTAGTGACGTTTGGTTTCCCCTACAATGGAAAATATCACATTATTTGTTGATAGTAAATATTTCTAATTAACCAATGATTCACGATAATTTGTTCATTATCGGTGAAATCAGATACGCATTAAAAATAGAGATTTTTACTTCCATAGTACTTGAAATCTGTTGAAGGTGATTAATTCAAACGTTGTTTCTGATAAAAAATGCGTTCATTGTTTAACCGATCTTCGATTTTGAAATAGTGTACGTGATTATTACATATTATTTTTTTTAAAATAACTGAAGCTTTTTTCACATAATTTTAACATATATGTACACTGTACTTTAAAACTTTACTACTAAAACATGATACACAAATCTGTTTATAGCACATGGAATACAGAGGCCACACCTTGCCTTCTGCACTCAAATTCTTTTGCTATCTATAGAATAGTTTTTTTTTTAACTGTCATCCGACAGCGTTATTATCTATATAATCATAATTTGATAAACATCTCTTTTTTTTCTTTAATTGGAAGCCGTTGCGGTTGCATTAGGAGCAGGGGTTGCAGCAGACGTTGATTCTTCTGTAACGATTCGCCGATTTTTTTTTATCCTCTTCCATTCACCATTCGTATAATTCATTTGAAAATGTGTTTCGACTAACATGGGTACAGTAGTACCATCTGATTGAGTCACTTCCTCTATATTTTCCGAAAGCATTACTGTGACTATATTACCCAATTTCGGACAAGGATTATCTAAATACATAATAAAAGATGATAAATAAGCTTCATACGAGTTACTTGGAAACTTTAACAAATACATACCCCTTGAACCAGCCATGAAACCTAGAATAAGGGCTTTTTCTGGTCGAGTTACTTTATTAGCTGTTCTAAACATTTCTTGTGCCTCTAGCATTTGTTCTCGCTATAAATACACGACATAATTATGATTTTACGAAATTACAAATCTTTTTATATTATAAATATTTGTATATACCGTTAGAGATAAGCCCTTTCTTGTGTTTGCTGCTGCATTAGCAGGTTGTGCGGTAGTCTGTATACGAATTTGTGTAACCGTTTGAGCTGGTCTGACTGTTTGTACTCCGACAGGTGTACTTTCCACTGGCGTAATAACCGTCGGTGTCGAAACAGGTATAACTGTCGTAGGTGTACTTGGTGTGGTAGCTGTATCAGAAAAAATTGATTATTTTCTATTCATAAAATAAAGTTATATATAAAAACATACGAATTTGTGGTGTCGTTACTGCCGATACTGCACTTGGTGGAGTAGGTGTCGTATAAGATTGTATAGATGCTACAGGAGTGATTGGAGTAGCAGGTGGATTGATTGAAGTTAAACCCTGGGCATATTCTGGAGTCGTCGATGTTTCTGTTGTAGTCGTGGCTGTTGAAGCTGCAGCAGCTGCCACTGCTTGAGCTTCTGCAACTTTTTTCTGTTGTTCTTCTAATTCCATCATTCTCTTTCGTTTCTTTGCTTGGGCATAACCAAGTGGTTGTTCGTTAATATCCAATAGCTTAATGCCTACGTCTTTACGCATTCTGTTACTAATAGGTGTCCTATTAGACATCGAAGAAGTCGTAAGCGAGGGAGAACGAAAGCCACTTGTAGGAACTCTACTAGGAATGCCTTTCAGAGGTGCTACAAATAACATATTATTTTATGGTTTTATATTCATTCTGTTCTCTCCAAGACAATACTAATTGAAACTATATATATAAGCTTACTTGTGTCAGTCATTTTTCTGGGCATTCCTCTACTTCTCACAGGCACTGTAGGAGCAGTACTTTTTTTCAAATTACTTGCAGCATCAGTACTTTTTTGAAGTAATTCTGCTCTTAATGCTGCACTTTTTGGTTTTCTCTTTAGTGTAAAATGTTTAACTGGTGTAGGCTGTTGACCAACCACGGATGTAAGAGCAGTCTTATTAAGATAATGACATTCTAATGGAAGCATAGCTGGATCATTTTGCTTTTTCAAAAGTTTTCGAAGATCATTCACTAATTCTCCAAAAATAGGCCTATGTTCATCTAAATCTGTGATGTCTGTGTTTAAAGAGCCTGTTGATGGAAACGTCTTCATCGCTTCGGATAACATCGATACCCATAGTTCACTATCCAATGATGCCACTTCAATGATTTCTTCCAATTCAACACGCCACTGTAGAATTGAGTAAAATCATAAATTACATTTAAAAATGTAAAAATACATAACACATTTTTTAAAAGAGAAACGATTAAAATTCATGAACATTAATTGTACTTAAATTTTACAGAAAATATTAGTCACATATAACTAGTTACTAAACGTTTCAAAAACATTTATTGTCTAAATGAAACTAAATAACAACGGGAGTATAATATATACAATAGTTATTAAATATTTAAAAAATGAAATCATTGTTATCAATCTCTTTACATCAGTATTTTAACAACAAATTTCTCGACTTTTTCACGCATTAAGAATCTATACCAGACAAACCGCATGCCTTACCTCTTCGACATTCCGTCTTGGTATGTGAAAAAACGAAAGAAGTAATTTGAGTTTAACTTGTGTTTGAAGATCTGGAAAACAGTCTTTAATATTCCGCAATACTTCTGCGTTGAGTTGTGAACAAATTGAACTTCCAGTCCAGCTATCATTTGACGTACCAAGCTTGTTATGAAGCCACAACGACGTATCACTGTCCCTTACATTCGCCATATTGGAGTCGTTTGTTTCGTACATGTAACGTACATTGCCGTACTGTGCCACATGGTATTCCCGCCATAAAGTAACGTGACTTATGTCCATGTAATATGCAGATTGTAGATAGGTATCTAATTACAAAAAATATTTCACTTAACAATTTTTTTCATAAACTATTTAAGATAATTAAATATAATTTAACTTTTCATTTTTCTCAACTTCATAATACTAAATGTGACTTCGTTTAACTAAGTTATACAATGTTACTGTTTCATGATAAATCACATTAAAAGCGGCTTTTAACGTATGATCGTAAATTGGAAATCGATCGTTATTTTAACAAAAGATTTTCCCGCGGATATATGTAAATGGCGTCTAGCGTGATGTTAGTTTGATATCTAACAAATATTTAATGGAATATGACTGCTACAAATGGTTTTTCAGATTCGCAAGAGTCTGATTTATTAGGCGAAGAAGAATATAAAACACTAGTGAAAGATATGTAAGAAATACTGATATATAATAACTATGCTATATGATCTTTTTATACTGATATATAATAACTATGATATATAATCTTTTTATACATTTCGATATCTTGGTTTTTTCCTATATATATATATTTATATATATTTATGTCATTTACATGTTTACATATTTGTGCCGCTTTATTTAGTGGATTTGTGCCCACACCCTGGATACAAAGTGTAACGGAAGAGATGGAGGAAAAATATGATTTACCACAATATTTGGAAGCCGAAATAAAGGATGAAGAACAAGAAGAAGAATATTTCCAAGAACTTGATCCTGCTATTCCAATAAAGGAAGAGTTTCCTGGTCGTTATAATTTCCAGGTTTCATTGGGTAATCTAGACTCCAGTAAAAATTGGGTAGTAAGTATACAATTATTAAATTATTATTTTAATTATTGCATGCAAAAATGTCCTTTAATTTTAATTTTATTCATTTTATATTTAGTATTCACAAGTATTGAAAAAAGTGTTTATCAACATGGAAGAAACACTGCCATTACGCTTTAAATGGGAACCACCTGAAGATGGTCTCCTTTTACGTACTGCCATGGTTTTTAGTTTAGATCAATATGCTAGTGATCCAGTTAGGAGATGTCATAATCATATGGCACCAAATAATCCAAGTAATAGAGATGTATTACCCAGCGTGATCAAACATGTTGTTCGTTGTACACATCATCTTACCATGTATGAAGAAAGAAATGAACATTTATCTATAGTGACACCTCTTAATAGACCACAACCTGGATCACAATATGTTCTAGTGTGTTTTAAATTTTTATGTAAAAATAGTTGTCCATCTGGAATGAATCGCAGACCAACAGAGTTAATTTTTACTTTGGAAGATAGTAACAGAAGAATTTTAGGTCGACAAAGACTTCCTGTTAGAGTTTGTAGTTGTCCCAAAAGAGATAAAAAGAAAGAAGAAGCTGAAGTGTCACAACCTGATGTAAAAAAAAGAAAAGTTTGCATACCAGCTGGAAAAAAAATGATGCCTTCCTGCGATACACATATATTCAATGTACAATTAAGCATTGTTGGAAAAGAAAATTATTTGGCTGTATTAAAGTATGCATTTGATATTATGGCTGGCCAAGCCATAAAAACTGGTCAGCTTGATTTTTTTAAGCCATATTTAGACGATATATTACGTAAAACACCCTAAATTTAACATTTTAAGTTTGTACCGTTATCTATTGACATATCTTATAAATTTTAATTATAATTTTAATTATTAACTTTATCAACATTTAACTAAATGTTGATTTAAAATAAGACGATGCTTTTTATTTTGTAATGTATCCCAATACTGTTTACATAAATAACGTTATGTTAACTTTGTGATATGTATCTTTTATATTGGAATGTAAGATACTTTGTTAGTTTTATAATAATAACAATTTTATTACACTTTTTATAATATATATTTTACATCCCCAATTGTTCATGTGAGTGACATTCTATTAGTTGAATGTCTAATGTGTACAATAACAAAGCATTTGGTAAAGGAGCAATATGTTGTGATGTTAACATCATAGGATTTACAAGACTTGCGACACTTCTACGAATTTTTATTTCAGTACCATTCTGTCCTTGACCATACAAAGTCCATTCCCATGATATTTTTCCTCCTATGGTACTACTAATCCAAACAATTTCATCTTCATACTAATATTTATAATTTAAATTATTATTTTGTACATACAATAAATAACTTTACAAAATTTAAAATATATACCTGAAAGAAAAAGAGATCTTCACCACAGTGCAATATATAAGCAGCTTCTGAACCAAATGGAAGAGGTAGTGGAAATTTTGCACAAATAGAATAAAAATGAATTTGTGGTACTTCATGAGTTCTACTCAAATGTTCCAATACTGCATCAGATGAAATAATATTTTTACATCCGGTTTGTCTTGAAAGGGGACATATTATTTGAGTATAGGATATAGAGTCTATAGAACTTCCCCAAACTGGTATGGAAAATGTATCAGATGTTAAACTATTAGTACTTGACATTGATATACTTGTCGCATCAATTTGCAAATGATTATCAACATTTTTCATAGCATCCTTTGACAATTCTCCAGTACTTGCAGATTTCGTTCGATCGTATAAACTTGTACATTCATCAGGATTTAGATTTATATGTGCAGTATCTGCATTTAATTTTTCATTGCGAACTATTGTTAAATTATCTGCTGAAGCAGCTTTCTCTAATCTACCACGAAATAATTTGGTTAATAATAACTGGTGCGTTTTTGAATTTGTAAAATTATTTTTTTCTGCTGTTTGTATTAATTCCTTTTTTTTATTTTTGCCAAAAAGCCAATCTCGAAGATTTCGTGTATGACATTCTCCAGTATTATATATATTGTTTTTTATGTTAAAAATATCCTCAAATATCTTATAAAGTTTGTCCGCGAGCAAACATCTTCCTTGACCTAATCTAACTCTGCAAATCGGACAACGAGGTGTCCTTGGTCTACATCCAGCACAAATAATGTGACCATGAACACATTGAGAGACTGGAGGCACTGAACTTTCCAAACAAACTGGACATTCTAAAACTCGTATCTAAATAAATGTAATGATTATTTTTAGAAACTATTTATAATATACATTCAATTCATATTTATAATATTTAAAATATAATCGTTTAATAATAAAAAGTTAGTCAATATCAAATTACGTACCACTCCAGCTATTGCATTTGTAAGTTTACAGGCCACTTCTGGCAGTGGTCCTTTCAGAGCTATACCTGTTTCTTTTTCTTTTTCTTCTTTATTAATGTATCTCCAAACAAATAATTTTAAATCATATTTTTCATAATGATGTATTAAAGCTGCTATTTGTTTTATTTTCAATCCTATTAGGTCCTTTCCATTGATGCTAACTAAACAATCGCCAGCTCTAAAATGTAATAGATCAAATATAGCAGATTATTTTATTGCTTTCTTCACTCTTACCTGAGTCCAGCTTTATCGGCAAGACTTCCGGTTTCGATATGGCTTATCCATGGATAAGGATCCCACTTTGATTTTGTTAGATGAAATCCGTAAGATTTTCCAAGTGTTTTAGTTTCTTTTATATTTTTCAATATTACACAAACTTTTCCCGTAAATGCAGTATCTTCTGTCATATAGATTTTAACACCTGCAGCTTCAGTTACAAGTTCCGAAGTAGACGCAATAGACATAATTTATTTCTTTTGTCAATTATATTAAATTAAATTTTTACGTTGAACGTGCAAATGTTATGATCTTCACGAGAGCAATGCAATAATAAAACTGATCGAGTCTGTTCTCTAAACAAAGATAAAACACTTGCCCGTCCACCTTCACCTAATTTTGTGTCCTTGACATTTATTCTCAGAAAATTGTAGTTTTACCTTTTACTTCGTTGTCGATATAAATATAAATTTAGAAAAATCTTTTTGTATTAAAATTATAAATATATTTTTTATATTAAAACATTTATGTCTTAATGATGAATACTTATTTGTAATAATTAATAAATACATATAACAGACATAAGAGTATTTCTTTTATTTATATGTCTACATACAACAACCACAAACACCTGCTCCATTTTAAATTAATTCAATTTATATTTATCTATATCTATATATATGTATAATAGATATACATATCTCATTGAAACTACTTCTTCATTTAAAGATTTGAAACAATTTGTTTCTATCTGACTTAATAAGAAGGCAGACTCTCACATACCATTAACATGGAAGATCAGACAGCTGGATTGTCAGTAACAAATTTAAAATATTTTATACAAATTAATTGAAATGCATTTCATACATTGATGATTGGTAAAATAATTCTTTCATGCTATAAGTAATGATAATAAAATCTTCAATAAATTATTGATATAATATATTGAGGCATTGGTTTAATGTATGTAAAGTAGTATGTGCAGTCGCTTTAAGTACTAATAAATCAGGATCTAAGTTTAAACTTGAGTTCTCAATAGTTTGTGCTAATGCAAGATTATGCTTTTCCACTTTTCTTAATTGCTCCTGACAATTGGCAAACGCATCCAAAACTTCTAATTTAGCAACTGGAGTTCTAGTAGAATTGGCAGAATGTTCTCTTGGAGGTAAAGGAGGATGACTACTAGCTATTGCTCTAGTATACATTTCTGTAACAGCTCGTAGTTTGTCAACCCATTCTTGACGAGCCCGGGCATCTGTGGCTCGTAATTTTATCATATCACCTAAATTAATGCATAAACGCTATCATGTTTTAGTTACTACATTACTATATTACCTTATAAACAATGATATTACTCGACATATTTTAAATACCTGTAGCAGAATTAACAGTGAAGGTATTAGAATCTTCATCGCTCGGTGCAATTACTGCACCAGCTAAATATATTGAACATCGTGGCCGCTGATTTTTTTCAGATTCACTTAAAAAATAGTGTAATTCGCCAGTCTCTGGTTTAAGTATAAACCAACGATATTGCCATCCTTTCATGGCATTAGTATATTTATGCAATAAACCCTCATAACGGTGTCTTATTTGAACATTCATCATTTATTTCTCTTGTTTGGAAGCCTCGTATTATTTAAATTGAATAGTTGCTTAGAGCGATCTGTCATCTGAACAGATACATTAAGGAAGGTTAGTCAGCTGATTGTAAGAAAGGTTAGGAAAATAAATAATCAAAATATTAACTGTGATTATACATTTTATATGTATATATATATAATTATGTATAACATATATATAATTTTTATTAATAAAAGTATACCACAGTTAACAAGTTTGTGTTTGTACTGTAGGGAATACTTATGCTGAATATTTACTATAGAAAAGTTCATTATATTAAATAAACTTTTTATTTTCATTTCACATTTATTCATGTTACATTTCATATTACATTGTTTTTTTGCGTTGAATATGAACATAATGAAATGAAAATAAAACATTAACAATATACAAAATATACAAAATATAAAGATATAAAAATATAAAAAGATATATTTAAAATATTTTTATCTTATATAGAATGAGTGACAGATTTAATATTTTTGATATCAAATTTTTGAACTGTTAAATAATAAAAGAAATATAAAAATATTTTAAAGAAATTATACTATTTTAACAAAATATATCTTAGTTTTAAGTTTAATAAAAATTAAAAAAGAAGCATAATAATTAAAAAAAGAATGTTTTTTTGTATAATCGTATAATCTTATGCGTATTCTTTCAAGAAGATATTAAACCCTCTTCAATTAATTTCTCTTTAACTAATGGTAATTCCACATTATATATTTTGGATTCCAGCTCACAATCAACAATTTTTATTTTGATAAAATCATCAGGAATAACTAATTCTGAAATTCGTTTTTTTATTTCAGAAGAATATTGTCCATTACTGTCAGTAGGTGCAATATCTGTAAAATTATGTTAGTAAAGTTTACAATAACTGTAATAATTAAAACATTATTAATAATTAAAATAATATACTTACTGACAATGTTGCAAATATTTGCAAGTGCACATGGAGTTATAAAGTCTTTTGGCATAAGTCGTATATCTTTATGGTTAACAATCTCAGTATTTCCAAAATCGACAAAGAATACAATACTTGTTGTAGATGAATAGCGAGGACTTAAACACACACCACGATACCATTTATCACCATAAAGAGCAAGACAAAGTTCACTTTTACGTGGAATATAATAATTAGTTGTTTCGCAAAATGTAGTTATCTTTAAAAACATTAAAAACATACATATATATACACACACATATTTATTTATATTAAATCATAAAATTTTATTGTAACAAAAGTTACCTTCTTTGGCATTATGTCAAAAACATGTGTCATTAGATCATAATCTAAAGGACATATTGCATATCTGTAACCATCTTCAACAGAATACAATACAAGTCCTTCAACAACATCACCAACTTTTCCTAAATCAACAATACTTAAATGTTCCATCATATAACATGTTTTATCTGCAAGGAAAATGAATGTTAATTTAAATAACGTTTATAATTAAAAATATTTATTATCTAATATTTAATCATTACCTTCTTCACAAGTTTCCTTAGTTGTTGGCACAAGTAATTCGCTTATCATTTTATTAACAGTTTTTTCATTATGACGTTTAAGATATACACCATCTTGGGAAGGTATACCATCAAATGTACATAATAGAGGAACTTCAGTTGCTACTAAATAAGCTAGATAATCATTTGCTTCTTTTGTCATAGGTACATCTTTAGAAACATCTTTTAATATGACTTTCGTTGTACAAGATCGAAGCTTTTTGAATATTAGATGTAAGTACTTTTGAATTATATTATTATATATATATTAAATAATAACATACCTGTTTCAAATTATCAGATAAAATCTTAAGTTTTTTTATATTTGTAACTTCTGTATTACCGAAATCAACATATGAAATTGTAATTTTATCATCTTGTATTTTAGTAACAATTGCACGATAATAATTCTCATCAGCATACTGAGCTATCACCATTTGCCCCACGACTGGTGGTTCTTTTAAAAATGGAGCTATAGAAAAAGAGATATTTTATTTTATATAAACTTTTATCAAAAATTATTTTAATTATACAAAGTAATTCTTTTACTAGAGGATTCAAAGAAATTGTAAGCTGATCGGATATTCTTACAACATTAAGGATGATACACTTATATAATTCATTTATTTTTAGTTCTCATATACGAATACGTATGATGTCGACGATGTTTCCTTTTTTGCTCCTCTAGTAAGAGAATTATCCTGCATTTTCAAATATCTTACATACATGTTTGAGCACATTTTGCAATATTTTGCATAACATGATTATAATGTTCCAACTCTATAGTATCTAAGGAACGAACAAATAAAAGTGTATGACTTCGATAAGAAGTAAGGAGTACCTGGAAAAATGATTTTCATAAAAAAAATATTTTGTCATTATTTATAAAAATCTTTTATATATTGATTAAAAGTAAACAGTGGAATAATAACTTTTTTTGTTTAAATTAAAATTGTAGATAGTACCTCAGATCCATTTTTCAATTCAGCATACTGTAATCCTTTCTGTTCAGGCATAGGTGTCCACGGCTTTACAATGGCTTTTATCTTAAATTGCTCTTTCGAAATTTCTATTTCAACTGTATTTTGTTCATAATTAATTGTTTGCGGTGTTACTTTAAATTTATACTGATCACCTTCCTATTAAATTATAATTTGAAAATTAAAAAGTAATATATATTGTAATACATATTGTATTTCACAACATATTAGACATTATAAAATTTACATTAAATTTATGTTTTGCATCAGTTATTTCCAATACTGCACCAAATGCATAAATATTTGAAAAATTGTTATCACATTTGATAGTTTTGTTAATTGACATTATTCTAGCTTCATCTATTATAGCCATTTTTAAAGATGGTTGTAGAGATAAAATATATCCCCTAAACCAATCTCCATCAACTCTTTGACCACATACTAAATCTCCTATTTTTGGTCTAAAAATTAATAATTTTACAAATTGTTATCGAAATAATAATTTATAATAAATTATGTTTTTACCTATGATTTGAACATTCTTCTGCCTGTGCACACACTTCAGGCAAATTGATCAATAATTTTTCATAATCAGGTATTGCATTATTAGGCAATAATGTAATACTGTAAGTATTATTCTTTATTTCTGCATGAATTTCTAAAATACCAATTTCTCCAACAGTTATAGTATTTACTATATTTTTTATTTTATTAGAAGAAATTAATGCTTTATCATTAGTAGATATTTCGGGAGAAATCACACTTTTATCATCAACTTTTACGACAGTTGAACTATTTAGTTTTGAATTATTATCTGTCTGAATTACTTCTGATGTTAATATGTCATTTTCATTTTTAACTTCAACATTAATAACATTGTTAGAATCAACTGATATCATTTTTACACTTATTACATCCTCATATTTGAGATCCTTATATTTTTCATATGCTTTTTGGGATAATCGAATTTTAGCACACAATCTTGGAACTTCCACATATTTATCAATTTTACGAAAATCATTTGTTTCAACAAATTCATCATTGCCATAATCTATATAATGTACTTTTACTGGATTTAAGCAAGTAACTATAGCTCTATGCCATACATTTTCATATTCTACAGCATAAATATTTCCAACTATTGGTTCCACCTTTTGTGCCTTTTTTACTTCATTCTGTATCTCAGTCATTAAATCTTCAATACTACTCTGATCTTCTACCTTTTGAATCCAACATTCACGATTTTCTTTTATAATTATTATTACATCTTGAAATTTAGTTTTTGATAAAAATGTATTTCTAGAAAATGATATATCATTCTCCATCATTTGAATATTACTAGCATTAAACTTTTGCCATTTTTTAACATTTTCCTGGTTATCTGCTTTCTGTAGACTTTTAGCTTTATTGTTGGAAATTTCAATTGGTTGTTTATGTAAAGAGGTCTTACTTTCCTTAGAAGATATTGTTTCTTCTGTTTTGCTTTTATATAAATTTCCTTGATTATTAGTTTTAATATCTAAACATTTTGAATCATTATCACTTGTGTAATTATTTGCAAATGTATTGCTTATATCTTTATTTTCTGAAGCAACATTCAAAACTTCATTTGAATTTTTTATTGCGTTTATTAATTTTTTTGGTCGTCGAAGAGGCAACTGACTATTAATAACGTTTTTAGTAAGAGTTTGTTCTTCATTATTTGATTGTAATACAGGCATAGAATACATAGTCGTTACTAAAGCTCTAAAAATAAAATAAAAAAATTTAAAAATTAAAAAGTATATTTCCGATTTTTTAACTGTATTAAATATTTTTTAACTATCAATATATAATACTATGAGAGAATGCATACGGAATAGCTTCACATTCAATCTTATGTTGAGGCCAATCCGTCACTTGGCAAATTCTAGTACAATAAAAGGTATTACATCTTTCACATGTATACTTTGTCTTTTTTGAACAAACTTTGCATATACCAATTGCACTTTGTAAGGTATCTTTGCCATATTCATATAAGCCCTGTTACATCAAATTATTAAATTGTTATTACAAAAAATATTTTTTTTTAATCTTTCATATTACTTTACTTACAGTAATGCGTTTTTCATATACTTTATTAATGTGATTATAAATTTCAGGATCAGGATCTGGAATTTCATACATCGTATAACCACGACCAAGTGAAACATGCCTCTTACCAGTTGAAGTAATAGTTAATTGCCCTCTAAAATATTTTCAACAAATATTAAAAAGTCACAAAACATGTGAGATATATATTTCATATAACAGATAATACCTTGTCCACAATGTGTTTGTACTTGCATAAGGTTCTGCATTTTCATATGGATTATATATATGTGGTTCAGAAGGATATGGATATAACAAATCATTATCTGCTGTATACGAGTATTTTGGTAATCCTGGATTTGGTTCAATCTTCTTAAATATATCTAAAGGTCTGCCTCGACCTTTTGGTTGTATCCTATATAAATTTATAAATTTTATTTTATATAATTATGTAACTATAAGTATATACTTACAATTGCTTATCTTCTAATACAAGATTTATTTCATTATGATTTTCATATTGTTCTGTAACATCTTTAGGAACAGATATTTTTGTATCTTTCACACTTGTAGGTTTTTCCTTAGCAAATGATAATTTCAAACGCAATGGTGGTATATTATGTAAATCTTTTATAGCATTTTCAGCTTTGTAATATGCATCATAAGTAATATACGCCCAATTAGCATTTGGACGATAAAAATATCCCTTGATTTCTCCATAATGGTTGAAAATTTGTAATAAACCACACTAAACATACATATATGCACATGTATATAAATCTATATATGCATTCATCATCTTTAATTTAGTAAAATTTGAATGAGTAAAATAAAAATGACAAAATTCTTAATCAGTAAAAAGGTAATAATTATACGTATATCCTAATAATGATAAAAGATTATTAATATTTTTACATACCTCATTTAATTCTTCAGGTAAATCACTTACATATAACGTAAATTCTTCGCTATAAAACAAAATTATAATAATTATAATAAACAATTATAATAATTTTATATATTTGAAAAAATAACTATATAAAATCAATAATATTTAAATATTAAATTAAATATTAAAAATTATTAAATATATTGCTTGAAATTGGATACACGTGACCATAGTAGTTTTGTAACAATGAGTAATAATATAATAAAGAAACAAATTACATAAAAAATGCATAGGAAACATTTAAATAAATTTTAAGAAATTTATTTAAAAAGAAAATTATTAAAAATATTTTAATCTTACTTATTAATTGACGACGCGTTCTCTGTCAATTTATCAAGTTCATAAAGTGCCATAATTTTATTATTAATGTTGCCTAATTAATTATAAATGAATTTATAAAATTATGTAACCGAATTAAATTTTATAAGCGTGATTTATAAACGTGATTTATCAATTAGATGAAATGTATTTAAATGTTAAATTCACGAGAGAAAGTTAGAAGTAGACAAAGGAAATTTTGAACAATCCTATGGCTATGAACCCGGTGTTGGCGTTTAACATATATTATATCTAATATATATTATGTTCATATATGTACAAGTATTTAAGTATACACAATATCAAACAAGTAATTTACACCAAACAAATACGATAGATATATACATGATTATAAATTATAAAATCAAAAGAATATTCTTAAGATTTCAATTAAAATCGTAACTTTCATTTTTTGTTATAATAAAACAAACTTACTTTAAATACTATGTATTTAAATTAAATTTTAATTAGCACGTCCCTTTAAATTAATCTTCAATATAATATAATTTATTAGCTTCAATATAATTAATTATATACATATATATTTATATTTAACTTGTTACTATATTTTTACTTATGCATGGGATATTATTTTATAAATACAAAAATAAATAACTACAAATATTATTCGAACGAATTTACTATAAACTATTGCGTAATAAGATTAGTTTAAGAAATTCTACTTTTCGCGGGTTTTAATGTGAGAAAATATACGCTTCGTTTGAATATCTATAAGCTAGGGTATATTTCGTGGTGTATTTGTCTTCGTATTCTCATCACCGTGATAACATTTAAGTACTGACCATCCTGTTTCGTGTTACTGTTGTGTTAGATGTCAAGATAAAAGAGTCGTATTTTCGCATAACAAACGTGCGAATCGAAATGTAATTAGTGTATATACCTTGTTATAATAAGTTGTTAATTAGTATGACAATGGCATGGAAGCAAGTTAAAGAACATTTAGGAGTTGGTAAGAAATAAATTGCTAATTTAACTTTTATAAGATCTAACATCCTGGGAGGTGCCCCAACCAGATAAAATTTTAGTTTCTGTTTTGCGCGCGAAACATTAATTTATAATGATTTCATGGTATTTATTCTGATTACAAGTATTTAAACAAATGTTTAATGTAATTATATTATTTATAATCGAAATGATTTATAATTATCATTTATAATTATCATTCATATTATCATTTACATAATAAGTACATAATATATACACTGTCTAAAATATAAATATAGAGAGGTCTAACAATTATATTTTTGTTTAATTTCGTTATTTGCTTCTACTCACACATTTCTTATATTTTTGATGCAAATTATCTTAGTTTTATATTTTGATTAATCAAAACAATGAAATGTAATTATAATATAATTCATATACAACTATTTAATATATACAATTATTCATTTGTTATTGATAGCCATACATAACTTTGTACATGGAACTCCTTACGCAATGCGATTGACTGTTGGAGAAATGGTACAGATATTGGAAGAATGTGGAGATTGGTATTATGGACGTAATAAATCTAAAGGGACATGTGGGATTTTTCCAAAATCCTATATACACATTTTACAACAATCGTTGAGTATGGACTGTTTAATACATGAAATCACCAATGTTTTAAGAGAATGGGGACATCATTGGAAGCATCTATACATGGTTTGTATAATATAGTGAAATATATACTTAATGAAATTAAGAAATTAATATGATTCTTATTATATACAGATTCATTCTGTGCACTTCAGAACAATGCAACAGCAGATTTTAGAGTTAATAGGATATAGAAGCAAAATTTTGAGTGGCACATTAACAGTAGATGAGTTAAAGGATGTGAAAAGATTAGCAACATCTAGAATTGATACTGGTAATCAATTATTAGGTATGGATATGGTTGTGCGTGATGATCAAGGAAATGTTCTTAATCCTGAAGAAACAAGCACAATTCAATTATATTATCATCATGAAAGAGCTGCAGAAAGAATAAGAAAGGCAGCTAATGATACAAAACAAAAGCCTCCAAAACCACAAGCACCAGTATATTCACATATTTTTTTTGTTAGTGTAAGGAATTTTGTATGTAAAATGGCAGAAGATGTAGAATTATTACTGACTTTGTACGATGGTAAAGAAATGAAAGCTATTACTGAAAATTATGTAGTATCATGGAGCAAAGAAGGACTTGCCAGAGACATAGATCAATTGCATAATCTTCGCGTTTTATTTACTGATCTTGGTTCTCGAGATTTAACGAGAGATAAAGTTCACTTAGTTTGTTATGTAATTAGAGTAGGAGGTATGGAAGCTAAAGATGCTGACCATCGACGTTCAAGTGTAGCACAAGCTAATCAAAAAGTGAAAAATACTGAAAATATGAGAAGACCATTTGGTGTAGCAGCAATGGATATTACTTTATATATTACTGGTAAACTCGAAGGTGATTCAGATCATCATCATTTTATTCCATTCGTACAGTAAGTGTAAAATTTTATTTGTATTTATATTTTAAATATGAACTGTTTCATAAGGAACCTCTTATGAATACAGTTAAAATAGATCTGTTTTGTTTGGTTCTTTTACATTGTTCCAGCTGTTGTGAGAAAGAAAGTTTGGATGGTACATTACGTAGAATTCTTTCTCAAAAAGAAACAAATATTCAAAAAAGTAGTAATGGAAACAGTGGCAGCTTTACTGGTGGACAAGGTTTATGGGCTAGTTTAAAACTGCTTAGAGGAGATCCAAAACAAGTAAATAAAAAATTACAAGAGAAAAGATTAAGAAATATATTTTAATATTTATAAAGAATTTGATATTTAGGTACGTGATGAAAATCCACATTTAGTACTTGGTAATGTTGCTATTGCCAGAAAAATGGGATTTCCAGAAGTTATTTTACCAGGTGATGTGAGGAATGATTTGTACCTCACATTAATTAGTGGTGAATTTAACAAAGGATCAAAGTCTACAGACAAAAATGTTGAAGTTACAGTCAGTATTATTAATTATACTCTAACTTTATTATTGAATTAATGATACTTTTAAGTATATTATTGACTTATTTTGATAGGTTAGAGTCTGCAATGAATTTGGTGTTCCAATACCAGGGGTTATGACATTAGGCGGTGGAGCTTCACCTATTGATGAATATCATAGTGTTATTTATTATCATGAAGATAAACCTAGGTGGTGTGAAACATTTAAGATTGCTGTACCTATCGAAGAATTTAAACAGGCTCATTTAAAATTTACATTTAAACATCGAAGTTCAAATGAAGCAAAAGATAAATCTGAAAAACCTTTTGCCTTAAGTTACGTAAAATTGATGCAACGTAATGGAACAACATTGCAGGATATACAGCATGAGTTACTAGTTTATAAATTAGATCAAAAGAAATATGAAGAAACTGATATTTCATACTTGAAATTGCCATCAACAAGGGATGAATTGGTAATACTGATATCACAATTAAACTATTTTTATACATAAATATATTACAAAATGTAAATATACTTGATTTTAGGTTGAATTAAATATAGAAAAAAAACCAACATTAGGAGCACTTACTTTGAGCAATAAGGACAGTTTTCTGATAGCGACTAATGTTTGTTCTACAAAATTAACTCAAAATGTAGATTTATTAGGATTATTGAACTGGGCATCGCACAATACAGATTTGAGAGAATCTCTAATTGCTTTAATGAAAGTTGATGGTGAAGAAGTAGTAAAGTTCTTACAAGTTAGTAAATTTTTTATATTATAAAACAGAGAATAGAGACAAAGAATGTATAAGTATTATTGTATAAAATTTGTTTTCAGGATGTTCTAGATGCTTTGTTTAATATATTAATGAGTAATTCGGATAGTGATGTTTATGATGATATGGTATTTGAATGTTTATTATATATTATTGGTCTTGTGTCGGATAGGAAATACCAACACTTTCAACCAGTAATGGATTTATATATTTCTGAAAGTTTTTCTGCAACGCTTGCATACAAAAAATTAATTGCAGTATTACGTAAACGTATAGATAATGCAACTAATAATGATACACAAGAACGTGATATATTACTTAAAACAATGAAGAGTCTCCAATATTGTATGAGATTTGTTGTAGAATCCCGTCTTTTATTTACTGCGTATGTTCTAATTTTCTTATATTATCTTAATATTTATTACATATATTAAAGTATTCATTTTACAATAGATTAAATGAAGATGAAGAAGAGTTTTCTCAGACATTAACAGAATTATTAAGATCTATAGTTGAGCTTATGAGACATGAAACAGATAGTACTTTGTTAGTTCAAGGAGCATGTTTGAAATATTTACCTACTACTATACCTCATTTGCTGCGAGTATATAGTGGCAAGCAATTGAGCACAATTTTGACTGATTTATTAGTTACTTTACCAGTAGGAAGATTAACTAAACAAAAAATGATGACAGTGAATGATATTGTTCATAGTCCTCTTTTTTTGAGTGCAGAATGCAGAGCAATATTGTTACCTAGAATTACTATTTTGGTTCGTGATTTATTGGAAGCTAAAGAAGAGGTAAGATATGTCATTTCATTAATCATTACAATTTGTTAATTGTGAAGTAATGTGAAGAAACAAAATTATTATTCATTAAAATGTATGATAATTAAAAAATACTGTTATACCTAATTTATCATGATTTCTTAAATATAAAATTTTGTTTGAGTAACAATTTTTGTTGAAGCTTCGTTCATGTTAATGTTATTGTGATAAAGTTTAAAAAACAAATATATGTTGCATATTTGATATAACAAAAATGTGAGCGGAGCTTTTGATTTGTATTTAAAATTTCTCTATACAACTTGTGAATAGTGTCATTATTTGTGCTTTCCGTGCAGCCTGACATCCTCTCGCCACGCATCTTTCTATGAATTTCATCAATCTTGTTTTACTCCATAAATTAGGATGTCTTTTATGATATGTTTAATTGCTTTAATATTACAATATTTTACTAGTTTGAACAGAACATTAGAAACTAAAACGACTAGAAATATAATCAAGGACATCCTTTATAAAATTTACTACAGCATGAGAATCAAATCAAATTTTCTGTTATTGCATGTATTCATAAAATAATGTCTTTTCTAAAGGGATTCATAAAGTATAAGTTATTTATTTTTTGTCTTTTCATCTTATTCAGACTGGATATTGTAAGAATGTACATTCTTAAAATAAAAAGTTAAATAAACATCAAAAA